TTCTCTCTTCACACGCACCCCTGTACACACCTGGTTTTGTTTTAAACCGTTTTCAGTACATTGCACCTAGTGATGCCGCTTCGCTCTTGAACACCTCAGTGCGAATTTCCTAAAACCAAGTAGTTCTCTCAGATGCTCGGCACAGTTACAAAGGTCAGGAAATTAACATTGATGTGGTGCTGTTATCTAATCCACAGACTTACTGACGCTCCACCAGTTTCTCTCAGTAATACCCTTAGTGGCAGAAGGAAATTCAAGATACTGTGTTCAGTGCACGAGTCCTTTAGACTTCTCTAATCTGAAGCGGTCCTGGAGTCTTTGAATTTCCTAACATTGGACACTATTAAAAGCACAGGCCTATGGAATGTCCCTCAATTTGGGTTTGTCTGCTTACTGGATTTAGGGTTATGCCCCTTTGGCAGGAATCCCACAGAAAGTGATGCTCGGGTCCTCTCGTTGCATCACAACAGGAGGCACGTGCTGTTGGTGAGGTTGCCTCCCTGCCCAGTGTGTAATTTTGATCATTTGGTTACAGTGGTGTCTGGAGGTTTCTCGGGGGCAAAGGTGCTGTTTTACACTTTGGAATTCAGAATAGTATAGGGAGAGAGAGTTGGGACTATGTAAATACCCCATCACTTAACCAGCACTGACCGGCAGAACTTTGTGCAGTGACGGAAGTACTCTATAACCAGCTGTCCGGTGTGGTAGCCACTAGCCACACTAGTGGGTAGTGTGAAATGTGGGCCACGCCCCTGAGCCCCACTGAGTTTTTATTTAATGTCACTTAACAGAAATGTAGATTTTATGTAGCTTCGTGCGGCTAAGGACCACCGTATCGGCATTTCACCCCCACGCTGTGTTTTCATCCATTCATGATTTCTGTCGGAATCAGCTGTTGTTGTGATGGTTGCCCAGTGGTTGTTTTGTAATTCTGTCATTCTTTATAGTTATAGTTGACTTTCTACTCTGAGGAAGAGGTTTTTTTCCTTCACCCCCATCTACTTATCAGTGTAAACTAAATCTGTTTACATTTGTCTTTATGTATGTCTCTAAATTTGGACACCGGCTCACATGTTTTACAGATGGGTACTTGGGTATGAATTTTATAGAACACTTTTGTATGTGATCTTACTACTTTTATAAAAACTGCTGTGAACTGTGCTTATGTGTCTTTCAGTGGCTAAAAGAAAGTGAAAAGATCTTAGAGTCAGAAAACATTCAGTAGTTTAACTTGGTCACAGGGGGCATGTTTTGGAACATTGGAACATGCCAAATAATTCAAAACATTAATATTGGCTTAGATGGAATTTGTGGAAGACTGGCATGTGGAAAAGACTACTGTACGTGAAACAAGTTACATAGTTTTATATGTCTTTAAAGCTTTATTTGGCTGTTTCCAAAATGCTGATATCTTAACAAATTTGAAGTTACGTGGTTTCTAATACTGTACGTTTTCGGTGGTAAGACTCTTCCAAACTGTTTGGACTTCATAGTTTATTTTCCTTTCCTTTTTAGGGCAACCTACAGTTGTTGCAGAACTGCCTGGCAGTGTTAAATGGAGACACATAAGCCACATCCACCTTCTAGTTAAAAAGGGCTGCCTTCCTTCAGACTTTATTTTTGTTTTCTTACTGATATTAGGCATTTACTGCTCACTGGGAACAAAAGAAACAGCTGACAAAGTGCATCTCCTCTCCTGTGCGCTGAGAGCGGACGAGCGGTGCGGTGTGGTGCGGCGCGGCGGGCAGGTGCCGCCAGCCGGCGGGGTGGAACGCTGCACTCATGCGCCTGCGGGCGCCGCCGGACAGCGGCCAGAGGTTGTGCGAGCCACCTCCTTTGCAAAAGCCCGAAGTTCAGAGGGGGACAGCTTCTGTAACTGTTTATGAATAGTATTCCTTTTGGCAGCGGTGCGGTGTGGTGCGGCGCGGCGGGCAGGTGCCGCCAGCCGGCGGGGTGGAACGCTGCACTCATGCGCCTGCGGGCGCCGCCGGACAGCGGCCAGAGGTTGTGCGAGCCACCTCCTTTGCAAAAGCCCGAAGTTCAGAGGGGGACAGCTTCTGTAACTGTTTATGAATAGTATTCCTTTTGGCTGCCAATCTTATTTACCTTTAAGTAATTTCTTAAGTTTAACCCTCTCAAAATACATTGTTCAAACAAGATAAAAATCGCCATTAACTTTTTTTGAGTTTTGCTTTTAAAAAAACCATGGTATATTGCCTTAGTTCACTCACATGTATCCATTTATGTAAGGCATCTTAATCAAACATATTTTTAATTCCTGAACATTTCTTAGACGTTTGGGGGCGTACCTTATGTAATCTTTATAATTTTGAAGAAAAGCAAATGCATTAGTATGTTTGCCTTAAACTTGTAGACTAACCCGACTATTGTCAAATAAACGGTGATGACAGTGATAGTTTTTAACTCTGTGGTCATTGTATCACTCTGAAATTTGGAGGAGCTATATAAATAGATTACTCCTATATCGTGCTTTACAGTGCAGGCCTTAGTATCCGTCTTTCTCTTTTCGTATGCCTTTTAAAATGGCATATTGCACCAAGTTCACCAATCCCTTTACAAAAGAATGAACTGCTTCTCTGTGTGCTTTTAACACTTCATAGAAGATGGGCAGAGGCAGGTTAGAGACAGCTATTTCTAAAATACCGGAGCGGAGAGTATGGTCTGTTGTGATGCCATCCCTACAGCTCAGCCACTTAATCCATGCAACGTACTGCCTTTGAGCCACTTGGTAGTTAGGCCAGTGTATAGATTTGGTCCGGGGGTGGGGGGGCGGGGTCTGCTATAGGGAACAGCACTTGTCGGGAAAGGACTTGGAATAAAAGGGTAGCAAAAGGATGCTAATTGTCAGTAGTTAAGGATTATTGGCCTTTCTATTGTGAATGAATATTGTCATTGCTGGTTTAAAATCGGACTGAGTGGTTGGGTTTATTCCACTGTCTTTGGGAAACCACAAGCATTTGGGTTGGCCACCCCTCCAGTGGGTTCCTTGTTTGTTGACGTTTTCCAAACTGTTAGGGAGACTGTCTGGTCTAGGTCTGATGGCTAGACTCGATGCTCCCAGCCATCCTCAGCAGCACGTGCTCTCGCCTCACTGGTGTGCTGGTTAATGTTTCTCTCTTCAGTTGACAGTGTATCCTGATGCCATTTGCTGATTTTTCTGTTGGCTGAGAGATCTGCTTTTTGTCCTTCGTGTCACCTTCGCTGGTGAAAATATGTCCATGTGATGCCCACCGGTTGGTGAACGTTGGACAGAGCCCTAGCTTCTGGATTTGGGTGCATTTCCTTCACTGTCTACCCGTGTAGCCTCAGGCAGGTTTGCTTGGCCTCACTCTGCCTCAGTTTGTCTACTGTAAGGGACATACTGACCTACCTCACAGGGATGTTGTGAGGATTAATAAATGTTGGTACAGTGCTTTGGAAATGTGAAGATGCTGTGTAAATGCAAACAGATCGCAAGTACAGGGCAAAAAGCTATACACAACGTTCCATGTACCCATCAGCTCATCTGTTTCTACCAAGGCGGTCTTTTTGGGGGGAAGGAGGTAGAGTGTCAGGTACATCCCTTGGCCCCTGGTTTATATTTTGAAAGTGCTTGTCGGGGTGGGTTGGGGGTAGGCTGGAAGCAGCAGTTCTATATTGAGTGACAGAGAGGCGGGTTGCTTAATAAATACACATGTAAATGAGTTGACCACACTCTCCCCCAGGACCTTATTAACACATGCAGAAAAGTAAACAATGTATGTTACTCCCTCAAGGGCATACATTTATTCCATAGCTCACTGCTAGTCGCTGACTTTAAAAAAAAAAAGAAAGAAAGAAAGAAAGAAAGAAAGAGAGAGAGAGAGAGAGAGAGAGAGAGAGAGAGAGAGAGAGAGAGAGAGAGAAAGAAAGAAAAAGAAAGAAAGAAAGAAAGAAAGAAAGAAAAGAAAGAAAGAAAGAAAGAAAAGAAAAGAAAAGAAAGAAAGAAGATAAACAGCGCTGGATTGATTCACTGATGCTGAGTCGTGGCATTCTTAAACATTTATCTCATCCCGGGGGAACACAGAAGTGAAGCCGGAAGACGACCAGTGGCAGGGACAAAGCCGTGCATGGACAGTCTAAAAGTCTAGGGTTTCCCTCGGGTGATGGGCGATGCTTTATGCTCGGAGAGGGAGGAAGAGCGGCCCAAGCTGTGGGAATGTCCTGGGGAGTCAGCAGCAAGGTGGAAACCAAGGAAAAGTGAGAGATGAGGGACTTAATGCTGTGAGGGTGGAAGGATGGCAGAAGAAAATGAGTCAGCCTTGTAAGGCAAGTGAGGCGCAAAGACTGGATGACATGTCTATAACCTGGTTTGGGAAAGCTTGTACGACATTCTGAACGTTTTATAGCAAAACTATACAAGTTGAACTCGAACTAAATTCTGAAATAGGGCACTGCAGAAAATGGGGTAAAATAGGAGAGGGGGACAAGAGTGGTTGCTCAAACAAGAAAACTGCTGTGGCAGAATAGGGAGCGCTTCAAGGCTTTAAAACCAGCAAGTAAAACTACTTGAACGTCCATCTCCCCATCTCCCCATCTCCCCATCTCCCCTCACGCTCACTCTCCTCACCCGTCTTAAGCGACGTGGAAAGAAAATCAGTGGGGGAGAGCTAGAGCTCTCTACAGTCCGTACGGTATAAAACCCTAGCTACGGAGGGCTAAAAAACACGAAGCAGTTTCGGGCTTAACCTTTCTTTCACCGCTGCTTCGTTCCCAGGCTGGACGCGGAGATCAACGCGCCGCCGGCCACCCTTTTTTTTTTCTCCGCCCGCTCAGAGTGCTCCTCGGCAAAAAGCATGCGAAACGAAAAAGACACTAGGAAGTAAGAACTGCGACTGAAGAACTTAAGAAGCAAACGACGAAAACCCAGCACACACTCTTCGCGGTTAAGTGCTGGCAAAATGCAATAGGATCACGGGAAGCACATAACTGGAAAGCCGCCTCTATGGCCACCGTAGGATCAGGGGAGAGCGCGAACACAGTCCCCCCACTACCACAAGTGACGCAGTTGGGTTCTCCACTTACGGGGAAACCGCAGTGGTCAGCACAACCCGAATGCAACGGCTAGGCCTCGCCCTATGAAAAGCCATTTTCGTGATTGTGACATTTCCACCGCCAGAAGAGTACGGGCTTCCGTACTCGCCCACACTCAGTCCCTCACGCCCGCCGCGCTCTGTACACCCGGTCACTTCTCTCGCGCCGCCACCGCGCCGCAGCACCCCCGCACACACCCCGCCCCGCCCTTGCCCACCAGGCGACCCCGCCGCCGCGCTGGGCGGTGGCCGACGCGGGGCGTGCAGGTGCCGGTGGTGCAGGACCGGCAGCCTCCGCGCGCGTGCTCATCTGCATACGCCACGCCCAGTGCTGTCTGGACGCTCCTTTTTCTTCCACCCACCCTAACGAAGAGAGAGAGAGAGAGAGAGGCCCAGGAGAGGTCGGCTCTGACGCTCGTATTTAAAGTGAATATTCGTTTGTAGTTTCGATTGACGCCTGTGATTTACCTACTTTTTCTAGCCTTTACCCCACTGGGAAATCACAGTTGTTGGGGCTAGTTATCCTTCAGGAGGAGTTATGGTTTGTTTACTTTTTCTTTAAGCTGCCCTTGTGTCCACGAGCTGGTTAGGTTTGCTTGACCTCTAGGTTTCTCTAGATATGAGTCTTTTGACTATGTCAAGGAAAAAAAATAAAGTGCAAAACTGTAGGCAGTATGTTACCCTTTGGGCAAAACGTGAAAGGACGAAAATTAGCCACAGTCTTGCAAAAGAATCCCCAAGACTGATAAACCCGAACTGATGAAATTACCTACAGGAGTGAGTAGGAGAGAGTGACGCTTTTCTGAGTGTACCTTTCTATGCAATTTTGACTTTTGGAACTCTGATAATGTTTTACATATACATTTTTTTAAGTACAGGGGGAAAAGACCTTTCACACTGGCTATGAGCATAAATGAAACTATCTTCAATGACCCTCGTAAGCAGACTGAAATAGAAAAAATAATAATAATAGCCAACTGAAATGACTTTTGAATACAGTACATTGACTGTAAGCATGTTCAAGTCTAAGGACAAGAACTGCAAACAAATATTAAACTGTCCCGTGGCGGGTTTGGTTTTTATAGTCACGTGGTTGTAACGCCTCAGTAATAATTCTGTGTGCGCGCTGTGGGATTGTGCTGGTGGATAAACGGATGTTGGGAGTCAAAGTTCTCAGTGCTGGGGAAAGGAGATACGAATATGGTGTTGGGGGGCTGGGAGCAAGGAGGAAGCATGTGATGTTAAGTTGAAAATTGGAATTGAAGACGTCGTGTGTGGGATCATTATTTTTAGCAGATACAGATATGTTTAGGAACTACATGCATTGCCTAGCTCCATCTACTGAAGGGGCCTACAAGCAAAGAGCATACCTAGTGCCCTGATCTGGCTTTCTGTATGCCCTTCCCCAGAACTAGGTGACTTTTCAGGAGTTGTGGAAGGCACAAGATAAGCCTGGACCATCTTGTGCCAGTGAAGAAGGAAATGCCCCCAAAATCATATGGACATGTCAAAAGGACACAGTAGCTGATTTGAAGGGACTTTCATAGGCCCAATCAGACAACATGTGAGCATGAAAATAATTAAGAACAGTTATATGGACTATGAACACTGAATAAAATAACAACTGTGCGTTCATATTGATAGTACATAGAGAGGGAGGGAACGTTCTTCCTTATAATAGAATGCCAACCAATAAATGTAGAATGAACGATGGAATCAGGAAGTCAACATTTGGCAATCAGAATGCAGGAGTCAACAATGGATGCTAAACGCTATTGTGTGAAAGTTTGAGGAGTACAGGATATTTACGTATCCTCAAATTATCTCCATCAAAAGTGCTTAATAATTACAAAGGACAAATCTGATGAACACCTCCAGTGACAGATAGTTGCAGTACTGGCCCCATTTACCCACATGCTTCTGTGGTACCCTCCCATATTGACTTGGCTTGACTATGTGATTTGCTTCGGCTAACAGAACATTAGTAAATGTGAGGCAAGCAGAAAAATTGAGAAACACTTGCTGACTTGGACTTGCTCTCACGTACTGTCCTAAAACCACCATGAGAAGAAGCCTGGGTTAGTAGTCTACAGGAGGGTGAGGTCACAGGAGTAAGGATGAAACACGTCAGCTGAGGTCAGCTGAGGTCCCCTACCGACCAGGGCCCAAATGTCCCCCAAGCTGCCTGCAGCTGCCTGAGGGTTTCATCTGAGACCAGCAGAGCTGGCCAGCTGGGTCCAGCCAGACGTGCTGACTCAGAGAACTGTGAACAGATAAATCGATCGTTATTCTAAATCACGAAGTTTCAGGGTAATTTGTTACACAGCAACGGATAACTGATACACTCACTACCTTAATCAAGTGATCAATGTTAACAGCGCCAATAATTGAACAGGCGTCACGTGCCCCCAAGTGTGACGCCCAGAGGAGGACACTACATTGATTTGCTAGGGCTGTCGTAATAAAGTGCCATAAACTGGGTAGCTTAAAACAACAGAAATTATTCTCTCACAGTTCTGGAAACCAGAAGTCCAAAATCAGGGTGTCAGTAGGGCCGTGCTCCCTCTGAGACTCTGGGTAGAATATTTCCTTGCCTTCTGTCAGCTTCTAGTAACGGGAGTCAGCCCTTGGCTTGCAGCTACACCACTCCAGTCTCTGCTTCTGTCATCACATGGCATTCTCCTCTCGAGTCTCTGTCTTTCACGGCATTTTCTTCTTACAAGGACAACAATCACATTGGATTAGGGTGCATTCTGGTGACCTCACGTTGACTTGATTGTATCTGCGAAGATCCTATTTCTAAATTAGGTCGCATTCACAGGTATCGGGATTAGGACTTCAGCAAATTTTTTGGAGGGACACAAGTCAAACCATAGCGGACACGATCTCATTTATGCAGCCTTTGTGTCAAAAATGAATACCTTCATGTAATTATGATGAAACATAGGACAACCCCAAAACGGAAGGATAGTCTACAAAATAACTGGCTCGTCGTCTTCAAAAATGCCTGCATGATGAAATATAAAGAACAACCTGGGAACCATTTCAGGTTAAAGAGACATGACAAGTGAATGCAAAATGTGATTTTGAATGTTCTTTTGCTATAAAGGACATTATTGGGACAATTGATGGAAATGGAATAATGTCTATAGAGTAAATGATAATATTGTATCCCTGTTAATTTTTCTTTCTTTTTTGATAATTGTACTGGGGTTAGGTAAGAGAATTCTTTGTTTTTAGGAAATACACACTAGGAAAGGAAACTTCCTGGAGCAACCAACAATCAAACCTCCCTCCTCCCAACCCCTCCACACACACGCCCATTCCCTGACAGAAATGTCACGTTTCTGTTCACTTGATTTTCAGAGACCATGTAACACCCCTCCCTGGCCCACACATCTACCCCATAAATGGATGCCTGGCCCTGAAATTCTCTGTTCATTTTCCTGTCACTGTTGCAAGATTAGGTTACTACATAGAAGCAGACCTTGGAGATATTGCAAGTTAAGTTCCAGACCACCACAATAAAGCAAATGTCACAACAAAGCAATTCAAATGAATTTTCTGGTTTCTCAATGCATATAAAAGTTATGTTTACATTGTACTGTAGTCTGTTAAATGAGCAATAGCATTATATATAAAAGTACATCCCTTAATTGGAAAATACTTTATTGCTAAAAATTGCTAACCATCATCTGAGCTTTCAGCCAGTCATAATCACTGATCACAGATCAATATAACAAGTATAATCATAATGAAAAAGTCTGAAATATTGTGATAATTACCACCAAAATGTGACATGGAGAAACAAAGTGAGCAAATGCCATGGGGAAAATGGTGCTGATAGACTTGCTCCAGGCTTGCCACAAACCTTCAGATTTGTCGAAAACACAGTATCTACGAAGAATGATGAAGTGAGGTATGCCTGCAATCCTAAAGAAAGATCAAGAGAATGATTAGATCGTGAGAATGTTCGTCATGTGTGAAACAAGATGAAATTCTTGTGGTTCCCCACTGGTGGTCCCACAGGCAAGGAGAGCTGAGCAAGCTCTGGCGTCCCAAACCGGCCAGGACGACTCATGCTGTGTTGTGAAGATGCCACGCAGCTTCTCCCCTGTGTCAGCAAGGCTGTCGCAGCCCCTCACCCATGGCAGAGAGCAGAAACGGCCTGGGCCCCCTCAAAGAAGATGAGTTGGTTGGGAGTACGGTTCGCACCTCCTTGGTAGACTTCTCTAGGAGAATGATTAGCAGTCCTAATCTTTGCCTCCTCTCGCACTGAAATGTGTATAGTACGCTCTTTTAAGACCCTAACCAGATGTGCCCTTGACACGCTGCTTTGATACATTGATTAATGTAACCTCTTTCCTGCTCCTGTTGTATAAAAGTATAGAAGATGTTTCCAGACAAAAAAAAAAAAAGCTTCTGAGCAATCTATTCGCAACTCTCGGATTGACTGTCCTCACAAGCTGTATGGTTCACAGTTAGACCTGAATAAACTCTCTTTAATACAATAACTGTGTTGATTTTGGTCAACGCGTGTTAAAGTGGTGATGAAACTCCGATCTTCGTATTTGATGTTTAATCGACACTTTTGCGTGTCATTTTTGCTGAAAGGAAGGTGAGACCAGACCTGAGCCCTGATCCGCCCCACCCTTGAGGGTGCTCAGCTGCCGCCAGGCGCCCCGAGATCCCCGTCTTCTCGGGTCTCGGCTTTTAGATCACGACCGGTCGCCGCGCCCAACTGCGCCCGCCGGGCCCCCGAGCCTCCGGCAGGTCTCCGCGGCCGCAGAGCGGGAGACGAGAAGCCGGGGACCCCGGCCCCCGCCCCATGGCAGGGGCGTGGTGCATGCAGATGAGCACGCGCGCGGAGGCTGCCGGTCCTGCCCCGCCGGCGCCTGCACGCCCCGCGTCGGCCACCGCCCAGCGCGGCGGCGGGGTCGCCTGGTGGGCAACGGCGGGACGAGGGGTGTGCGGGGGGGCTGCGGCGCGGCGGCGGCGCGAGGGAAGTGACCGTGTGTGAAGAGCGCGGCGGGCGTGAGGGAGTGCGTGGGGGCGAGCACCGCAACTCATACTTACCTGGCAGGGGAGATACCA